GAATCCATATCATGGATGGTGGTGAGCTGTTTCCATTTCTGCATTCGACACCCGTTTTTCCCGAGTGGCCATTTGCTGCCAAGGATACCGTGGACCATATCGTTGCAGAAGAAGTCGGTGATGCACTTATGGCTTTAAATAAACATGCAACTATTGGCCAACTGATTGTCGAGTGTCAAGAAGCAGCAACAACACAAGCGGAAAGAAACATTTGCGATACTTCACCACCAGAGTATTTCGACCCAAATGCAAGATGCGATACCTCGAGAGAACTTGCCACTCTGGCATACAATGCAGGATTGGCAGGGTTTCACGATGGATTCCATTCGCCAAGGTCTCACTTCCATGTCCGAACGATGCAACAAGACGGTGGTTTCATCATTCAGGACGCTAAAGGTATGTGATGGGTAGTGCTTTGGCGTCTCGTGATGCTCGTCGAAATGAGTATCTGGTCATGTTTTCTCACCAAATTATCAAATCTAATTCAATCTCATGAAATCGCACGTCCCCAAAACAGGGAACTCGCGCTGCGAACGCAACTCCAAATACTACAATGGTATCACTTGTCCCGACGGATACTACAAGGTCTCAGAAGATATTTTCGATACACAGTGCCAAGCCAAAGGACTCTCTTGTCAGGATGGATACTCATGCTACTGCCAACCATGCATCCAGGCGTTCGATGTCAGCGTGTTTCCGTGGACTAGCGAAGATGGGTCATCTGAGTTCAGTCAAGATTCTGGATGCTATAAAATGAGGTGATCAATCTATATCAAACTGTCAACAGCATTGTTTTCGGTCACCTTTTTCTTACCAACTTGCTTTATTCTGAAGTCTCTGCGGGGTCGTCCAACAACGAGGCACAGGGGTCTTCCGGGCCTTTGACAATCTTCGACGTACGAATGCAACGATGGTAGTCAAAAGCCATGTGGGCGGTTTGGAAAAAGACATTCTGACACGTGAAGTCGAGCCCTTCCTTTATGAATTCGAGTTTTCTCAACCGAATAGAGGTATTAGCATTCTGGAGATCTTTGTCAACGGTGAGCAGATTCCAGAATCTCCTATCCAGGTACAAGTTGTTGACCGTGATTGTGACGCTGCATACCCTGGCGAAAACAGGATTCCAGTAAGTGTTACATTCACTGTCCTATTGAAGATCGAATACTTCGGACAAAAATGGACTCATTGTTCGAACTTCCTTTCCACTTGTCACAGGATGCTCAGGGCGAATGTGTTTGCCCTTCAGGGACTATCGAGATCGATGAAATCTGTGCTTCCACTGATGCGCATGAAGTGAGCGTGTACCCCTGGGTGGTCGATGGCGAGTATCAACTCATGAACATCACTATTCAATCTGGCTGTAAGTCCGTTCCACGTCCTCATGTGCAACACCAAAGCAGCACCGGTCGATGCTAACATTCATTGATTATTTCCGAAGGTGAAAAAATGAGTCTCTGCGGAGCTATACCCCAGACAAAAGGAATTCGATTCAAAGCACAAGACAACAGAAAGCGGGACAATGCTACGGTCACTGCCCTGATGCACATTGGCCAAGAGGAAAGGTTTTTATCTGTGGTCGAAACGGATCCATTCGTATACGAGTTTGGTTTCAGTCACAATGAAAGAGGAGTGGCCATTTTGGAGATCTTTGTCGATGAAGTTCAAATTCCGGATTCTCCCATTCGGGTAGAGATCACAAACAGAGACTGCAACAATGACTTCCCTGGACAGCGTATGGTCCCGGTAAGCAACATAATTGCAGTCAGAGTCTATCGCTCATGCTGAATCACTAACCATTCTTATTTTTTGCCATCGTAGAGTACCATTGGCGTCTGTGAGTGTTCAGATAGCACTATCAAGATTGGAGAAGAGTGCGTACCACTCGGTACATTTACGGCCATCATGGCAGCCATTGGAGGCCTGATTGGTTTCTTAATAGTCTATTGCTACCTCGGATACCGACGAAGGAAGAGCGACGAAGTATGGCACGTGAATCCAGAAGAGTTGGACTTTAGCCATCCTGTCGAAGTAATTGGTCAGGGCGCATTTGGTGTTGTCCTTGCTGCAGAATATCGAGGAACGCGAGTCGCCATCAAGAGTGTGATTCCTCGACAAGATACTGTAAGGTCCCGAGCCGGCTCTATGCCAAGCGTAGCGGGTAGTGTAGTTTCTGGATCAAATGTTTCTCAGGACGATTCGAAAGATGGGCCAAGCGATGTGGAAGCCGGAGCAGACAGTCCAGCGACACATCCCACCAGCGATAGTCGAGAATCGGCACTAAGTGACTCAAATCTATCAGACTTATTGGAGCTGCCAATTGTCAGCAAGAAATCAAGATTTTCAAAGTGGATGCCATTTCACGATGCAATAACTAGATCAAAGCTTCACATACTTGGGCATGCATCAGGGGCGTCCACCACCCCCAAGTCTCTGCGTTCGAAGTTGCTTTATAGGTGTGATGAGACATATCAACGACAACAAGAGTTTAAAGCGGAGATGCGTTTGCTATCTAGGCTCCGTCATCCTTGTGAGTGCACGGTGCAGTTGATCTTTGCTCGTCGCGATTTATTCTCTTCTGACTTCCATTGCACTTTCCGTTTGTAGGTATTACAACGGTGATGGGTGCCGTCATGGCCGGCGACTCCCCCATGATGGTAATGGAATGCATGGAAAATGGATCGCTGTAAGTATCGACGAAACCGCACTCAGAAATTTGTATTCATCCTAACACGTGCTTGTTGGATTTGCTGTGAAGGTATGATCTCTTGCGAAACGAAACCCTCTATACTGGAGGCGAGATCATCATGCAAATCGTCAGAGACGTTGCCCAAGGTCTTCGGTTCCTGCATGCATCCAAGCCTCCAATTTTGCACCGTGATTTGAAGGCAAAGAATATCCTCATCGACTCTCGGTTCCGTGCTAAGGTTGCAGACTTTGGCTTGTCCACGAAGAATAAAAAAAGTCTCTCCGGTACACCGTTTTGGTATGTTTTCCCTGATGCAAGAATTCTCCATTATATCTCGTTTGCTCTTCGTTTTGGGTTCTCATCACTACTGTGTTTATTTTCTTTTGACTGATTGCAGGATGGCTCCGGAATACATTCTAGGCAAGACAGAATACACACCTTCATGTGATATCTACGCCTTTGGTATGATCATCTACGAGATCTACAGTCGTAAGATCCCATACGAAGGTCAAAACCCAAGAAAGGTTTTACGCAAGGTCTGCGATCCTCGAATTAACTACCGACCGCAAGTCCCAGATACATGCCCCAAACGGATGACAGAGATCATGAAGAAATGTTGGAGCAACAACAGTCGAGTTCGTCCAGATTCGAAAGATCTCGATATGATCTTTGCTGATATGGGATCACACGAGGCGGAGCCGTTGATCGATCAAGAAAATACTCGTTTGCGAACAGAAGTAGCTGCCGGTGATATGTTGTATCAGGTGTTCCCGAAGAAGGTCGCTGATCAGCTCAAGCTTGGCCAGAAAGTTGAACCGTAAGTTGAATCCGTGTTTGGAATGGTTGGCTTGACACATCATCCTCACCCCTTTGTGCTTTTTCTTTCTTCAATTAAACAGGGAGACCCACAACAATGTGACAGTCTTCTTCAGCGACATTGTCCGGTTCACCGACATTTCGCGGACTCTTTCGGCAGTCAAAGTTTGCGAAATGTTGGATCGTTTGTATCTTGCATTTGATGCTTTGGCGAACAAGCATGAAGTATTCAAAGTGGAGACCATTGGTGATGCTT